TATAACAATAATATAATATTATGACTGTGACCATTACTACTAGTAACAACAACAACAACAACAACAGTGCTTTTTTAACATTGTGTCACCTGGGTTCCACTTATAAAAGGTAAAGGTTCCCCTTGACATTTTTAGTCCAGTCGTGTCCAACTCTGGGAGGTGGTGCTCATCCCGTTTTCAAGCTGTAGAGCCAGCGCTTGTCCAAAGACAGGTTCCGTGGTCACGTGGCCAGCGTGACTAGGGAACGCCATTTTACTTTCCCACCGAGGTGGTCCCTATTTATCTACTCGCATTTTTACACGCTTTTGAACTGCTAGGTTGGCGAGGAGCTGGGACGAAGCGACGGGAGCTCACTCCGTCGCGTGGATTCAATCTTGCGACTGCTGGTCTTCTGACCCTGCAGTACACAAAGGCTTCTGTGGTTTAGCCCGCAGTGCCATCATGTCCCCTGGGGTTCCGCTTATAGTCATCTGTTAATACAACTACAGTACATATTAAGCCTTTAAGCTATACAACGTGCTTCTAGTCATTGATAAAACAGATTCCAAGTTTGATAATATTCCGAATCTTCCTTCCCTTTAATTTTTAATGTCACTTAATTTTTAATTAATGCTATTAATCTAACTGTCACACAAATGCATGACAATGGTGGTCAAAGCTTTGCAAGAGGATTACTTGGTGCTACCAGACCAGCTACATTCAAAAAATCAGCCTCTGATACAAATTAAAATTAAAATTAAATGGGGGATAAATGATGATTCCAAAACTTGAGCAGCCGTCCAGTGGTCTACAGGAAAGACGGAGACCTTCCCTGATTTACCTTTCCAGGTGCACACTTGGTACCTTCGTTCACCATTCCTGGGTCTGGGACGTCCGATCCTAGCTGGAAATCCACTCCCCAGCACATGCTGGTTTTGATAGGAGACTGAATAATGGCCGGCTTGATCCCAAAGACGGGCAATGTCTTCACGTTCTCACACTGTAGCTTTCCACACATGGCATTCCTGCAGGGTAACAATTTATCACCATTACGATCAACCACAACGTCCTTGCCCTCTTTTATTATATTTCTACCCTACTTTTCCACTACTAAGTAGTCCTCAAGGTAGCTTTATGGTCAACGTGAAACATAATAAAAAAAAAAAACCAAGGGCAGAAAGCTGAACCACTGAATCATCCAAATCACAAAATGATTATAAAAATCATTAAAATCATGAAGTCTACAATCAATTAAAACTGACTGGATAGTTCAGTGGTTTAGGTATCTGGCTGTGGAGCCAGAAGTTGGGAGTTCAGTTCTTCACTGGGCCTCCTGCAAGGAAAGCCAGCCTAGGTAGCCTTGGGCAAGTGCACAGTTCCAGAAATGATTCCAGAAAAAAGGAATGGTAAACCACACCTCTGAATATTCTCTACCTGGAAAACACTGAAAAAAAGGGTTTGCCCTATGTAAAAAAATTGACTTGATGGCACATTATGATGATGATGATCACAACCAGTTAAAATCATCACAATAAATTAAGCAATATCACAAAAACCAGTATGAAAAGATGTGCTTTTATACCCTTCCTGAGAGCAGCAACAGTAAAAATCGATCTACTCTACATTTAAATCCACTTAAAGTTTCATTGAAGTAATTGTTATAATTGCTGACATTATCTGAAGATCAATATCCACCTAGATTTTTTTTCCGGGCTTGGTTTTCCAATGGGGATTAAAGAAAATTACACCCTCCCAAACAATAATCTCAGATTTAAGCATCATAAAGAATAACAGAAGGTGTTGGTGTAATGACATAACCGAGAGAGTAGATTTATAGGCAGCACCAGCCAAAAATGACCATGTATAAGACTATACTTTTGTCTAAAATATTTAGACTAAAAATTGAGGGTCGTCTTATACACGGAAGTAAGCCGAGGAGAGGAAAAAACAAGTGGAGGGGAAAGCAGGGATCAAAGTGATCCTGCAGGGCTTTGATCCCTTTCCCCCTACACTTGCAAAGCCCCACTTTGATTTCTTAATTTTGGGTTAGAAAAGTGGGGGGTGTATTATACATAGGGGCGTCTTATACATGGAAAAATATGGTGCAAAGCTCAGAAGAGGGGTTTGGAAATGCATGGCCCTTAGCCACTGAATAGAAATCGCTCAATAGTTAAGAGAACAAAAGTTAATCTCCTTTTGATACCCTCCCCCAAGAAGTTGTGAAAAACATAATCTTGGCACTTTAAAGATGCCACATGTATGGATGCCCACGAAATCTTATATCAAAAATAATTTGTTAGCCTTTAAGGCAACACAAGAGGCTGTCAAAGTTTACAAGAGGTGATACTTTTATTAGACCACTAAAATTCAAACGTTCAGCACAAGCTTCCATGATGAAAAATCACTTCTTCGGGCATGCATCCGTCTCTTGTGGAGAGTGGAGAAAAAATTATAAACCAAAGTCCCAACATTTCATGGCAGGCGTCTGTGAGGTCTGTTTCTTAAGGTGAGGTCAGTGTTCAGGTGTGTGTGGTTAAATGTACCATGTGGTTGAAATTTTCCACTCAGGAGTTATTTTTTGCCACCACAGACTAACATGGCTACACTCTGGTCAACTCCTGAAAAATAATATTAAAACAAGCACAGAGGTCTAAGGAGGGAAAAAAAGGTCCTGCTCCAGCAGAGCCATGCTCTTCTAAGCCCTGTGTAAATATTAATTCCAGAAGAAGTAAATGAAGCAACACAACTCAGCTTCCTCAAAATTATATCCATTTTATGTATACCGTATTTTTCACACCATAAGACGCACTTTAGAGAAAAAAAAAAAAGGTCCTGCTCCATCAGAGCCATGCTCTTCTAACCCCCGTGTAAATATTAATTCCAGAAGAAGTAAATGAAGCAACACAACTCAGCTTCCTCAAAAATATATCCATTTTGTGTACAATTGTTTTTAAAAACCTCTCAAGTTTCTAGCCCTTATGGCTGCAAATTTTTTAAACCTCTCAAGTTTCTAGCCCTTATGGCTGCAAAGGTGTTGTTTAAAGTGTGCCAAGGTCTCAAAAGAGGTGACAAAACAACCTCTCCCCTGGGTGAGAGATGCCCATATAGTTTTCCTCTGCCCCTGACAAGACCACCCCATACATCTCCTCCAGGAAGTACTCCCAGCTTATTTGCAAAGTATTTTCGCAACACACCTGACTTACCAGCTTGAGCACTTCTTGTAATCATGGCCGTGGTAGCCACAGTTTCCAAACCGGTCCCCTTTGGAATTGACAGCGGAGAAGCAAATTTCTGGTGCCGCCTTCGCCTCTGCAAAACAGAGATTGAAGAAGCGGGCTCAGGGACAGCTCTCTCTGGGTGACATCTTTGCCCCTTTCGTTTAAAACCTGATAGGGAGGACAACCCCTTAGAAGAAGAGGCAAAGGGAAGGATCCATTTTTTAAACACGCACGTGTAACACTCTGCTTGATTTCTTTTCTTTTCTTTTTTGGCACTTGGGGAAAGGGTTCCCCTTCTGCCCAACCCACCAGATCATCCCAGACTAAGCTCCTCCATGTTGCCACCCCGAGGGAGCCCCAGAAGTCTTCGACCAGAGGCAGGGCCTTCTTCACTGCGGCCCCATCCTGGTGGAACCAGCTCCTGGAGGAGCTGCGCCTGGCTCCCGCCCAGCTTTGATTTAAGAGGCAGCTGAAAACATGACTTTCGCACCGATCTGTGTTGACCAGCCCTCTTCCTGTCCCACTCTTATTGGGAAAACTTGCTTTTGGTGCCATTTGACTTAATGCTGTTTGCTGTCGGCACTTTTTAATTTACTGCTGATTCTATGTTGATGCTGGTTTTAGCTGCTTGTAATAGGGCTCCTGCACTAATGGGGTGGTATATAAACAAAACAAAACAGATTCAGTACATCTGCGAAACGTGGAAGCCTTTTTTGCTTTAAACAGGGCAGTCGCTGGTTTGTACACCCCAAACCAGGGGTTGCATAGGGCCCTAGGCCTATGGGCTCCTTCCTCCACGGAGCCTATGGTTTTGCCCGGACCAGGATAAGAAAGACAGTAGACAGCTGTTCATGGGCTTCTTCCTCCACGGAGCCTGTGGTTTTGCCCAGGATAAGAAAGACAGTAGACAGCTGTTCTCCCTACTTGGGCCAAAGATGGCTTGGCACTGCGCTTCGTAGTACTGGCACAACCCGTTGTAGCAATAAGCTTCCTCGTTGTGGCAAGGGTGCCCGTTCTGAACGGTGACGTCCTGCGGGCAGAAGGGTGAGGATCCGTTGCAGTACTCCGGGAGGTCACACTCACTGGCGCTTTCTCTGCACTTGGTGCCTTTGGTCAAGTACTGGGAAGAAAAACAGAACCCAGGGACCATCATTAATTCACCTCCAAAGGATTGTGGTCTTAGATGCCCTCCTTTTATGGGTGGGCAACTAGTAGATATTGCCAGACTACAACACCCATTATCCCCAGCTGGGGCAGAGGAGAAGACGGAAGGGAACTGCAGTCCATCACCATCTGGAAGGCTACACATTTCCTCCTCGTCCTAATCCCATGGAAATTTTCCCCTGCCCTGCCCCTTCTTGCAAGGACTTTGGGGATAGGAAGGTCTTACATAGCAATTGTGACAGCAGTCTCCATAACCACATTCGGCGCCTGGGCGGAGTTTACACGTTCCAGCTTCACAGCAAGGATCAGTTTTGCACTCCTGAAAGGGAAAGAAAAAATAACCAAGGAGGGACAAGCAGATTCTGGATCCTTTCCAACACCATCTCGCAAGAAAAACCAAAATGAAATTTGGACTTCTCCCAGGGGGAACACGGTTAAGTCTGACTTCACAAGAGGTAGTGAATCCACTCAGGCTTGAGTCTTTATCTGGAAGTTGGGTTCAGCACCCTGGACATCTCCTGTAAAGTTTAGACTCAAACCTGGAATGGATTAGCTGCCCTGGCAATGTTGGAAGTCATCAGCAAGCTGCAAAGCATTAGGGGACAGTAGTCTCTCTGTTCATTAGGCTCTGTAGAGGATGCCTCTCAAATGTCCTCTAATGCTGTGCAGCTACCATGGAGTTTAGAAAGTTCAACTGAGGTCCTTCTCTATCTTTAATGGCCACCACTGCAGAGAGAATAGCTGTGTACTCTGAAACTTCTCTGAGAACTTAAGGGGTTTGTTGTGTGGGGTTTTTTGTTTTGTTTTGTTTTGTTTGTTTGTTTGCTTGTTTGTTTGTTTTGCTGCAGCTATTAGAATTCTAGTTGGGAGACTTCCTGTTGAATTCTGGTGGCTGTGGTGAAAAGAAACTGAGAATCCCAGAAAATTAGGCATACCATATTTTTCCGTGTATAAGACTATACCTTTGTCTAAAATCTTTAGACAAAAAATTGAGGGTCATCTTATACACGGAAGTAAGCCGAGGAGAGAACAAAAACAAGTGGAGGGGAAAGCAGGGATCAAAGCGATCCTGCAGCTTTGATCCCTTTCCCCCCACCCTTACTAAGCCCCACCTAGATTTCTTAATTTTGGATTAGAAAAGTGGGGGGCGTCTTATACATGGGGGTGTCTTATACATGGAAAAATATGGCATGAACAAAAAATAATATCACCATGCTATTGATTAGGAAGAGTGCCCACTATTAAAAAAAAAGAACACAGGCAAGTTGTGTACAAAATTTTCCAGCAATTTGGATAAGCAAATTGTGTACAAAAATGCATTCCCATTAGAAAAAACTGTGGACAGAGAAGAAAAATGTGTGTGAATTTTTAGGTCCTATTTTGTAAAAATCCGAAATATTACACAAACCAAAGGTACGGCTGGAAAAATGTGAAGCTTGAGCAGACAGATATGGGCCGATCTGTGCACCCTCAACTACAAATTCATCCAAAGTTCACAGATAACCAGACTGCCTCCACGGCGTCCCAGTTACTCACGTCCAGAGAGCCACAATCGCATTCCTCCCCTGCATCCACGAGCTTATTGCCGCAGTAGGGAATACTGTAGGTTTCCTCCGGCCGGGGGATATTGAGAAGGCAGCTTCCACCCTTGTTCAGCGTGAGCTTCTCAAAGTCTTCCTCGCTGCAGCTGCTGAAGTTTCGGGCTCCTCTAAGAACACAGAATGCCAGGCTGAGCCCACTCAGCCTCCTTGGAGTTCTGCGGACAGCCACTAGCTCCCATGCCCTCTCGCGCTGCTTGATCCCAAATAATAATGTTTATTATTTCAAATAATAAACATTAATGAAACCAGACAGAAGCATTACATACGATGCTCCGGAATTCATAATGCAGTTCCCCGTTTCACAGTGGCAGTTCCTTTCGTCGTCGTGGTTCATTCCAAGGTTGTGGCCGAGCTCGTGGGCGACGATGGATGCAAACATCTGGACGCTGATCGGTCCGAACTACGAAACAGAGAAGACGCAACTCTGGAAATTTATTCATCAAGGTCAAACATCTTCTAGGGGCAAAAGTTCACTGCAGTAGGTCAGGCATTACAGCCCGGGACCTGAACTCCCACAGATGTTTCCCACCAGTTCGTGGCAACAGAGGTTAAAAAATAGACGGTTCTCCACCTTGGTTTGAATTCAGCATGGGTTGGTTGACTGCTCAGCTAAGATAGTGCCTTACTGAAAAAGCCACTATCTGGCTTTCCTTTCTCCATTTCTATAGCACAGGCTATTGAATTCAAACCAAGGTGGAGAATAAGAATAAGAGAAAGGTGTTCGACTCAGTAAGTTGGCCTTCAGGAAAGAGACCAAAGTTCTCCCCTTTGCAATTGACTGCCATAGCTGAAAGGAAACAGAGAGAAGCCGTATGTCTTTCCCTAAACTGTCTCTAGAGAAAATAAGGGTTTACTGTTTTTCCTTTGTACACACAGCAGGGTGTGGATTTGATTTAAATCCAAATCATGATTTAAAATTTAAAAAAACTGGAGGTTTTTTTTTTTACAATTTAAATAAAAAAAGACTGATTTTTTTTTTTAATGAAATGGTATTAAAGAATAACATTGGTTTTTATTCACCCTGATGCAGAGGACTTCTGAGAATTTAGGTATTTAAGTTCTCTCTAGAGATCTAAACTTTCCAGAATGTTTCATTTTTTCGAGGAGGAAAAAAAAAACACTTCCCCACCTCCCCTTTTTTTCTGGAAAAAAATGGAAATTTGGGGAATTGTTACACCTCTCCTTCTGCCACAACCATAGAATGTTTCATTTTTTCCAGGAAAAAAAAAACACTTCCCCACCCTTACCCCTTTTTTTTCTGGGAAAAAATTGGAAATTTGGGGAAATGTTACACCTCTCCTTCTGCCACAACCATAAAAGTTGCACTTGTGTCTCTAACTCAACAGCAGAGCAAGGAGTGTTATCTTACCACGTTAATTCCTCCAGCGTGGCTCTTAGAGCACACTGTTCCAACATAAGCCATCCCAGCTGTTCCACCAAACTCCTTTCTCCTAAAATATGGGGGAAAAAAGGTGGCATTCTTGAAAATTATTACTAGAAACAGACAAGAACCACCCACTTTAAACCACAGATTAGCTCAGGCGCCCAGGGGCTATTACAGTACTTCCAGGGTTTTGATACAAGCGAAAAGAAAAGTCAGATTCTTATTTTAAGGCCAAGCCAGAAATGGCCACTGAAAGACGACAAATTACAAGGGGAGGCATCCTGAAAAGTGACGGAAGGTGCTGAAAGCAATGACGGGAGATTTCTTTGACCAGGAACATTTTATTTCCGTCTGGGAGCAATATTTACAACAAGGCCACTAGGGGTGGGACTTCTGGGAAGAAGGAACTTCCAGTCCCATCATTCAGCAGGAATTCCCAAGACTGAATAATGGGATTCGGAGTTCTTTTGTCCCTAAAGTAAGTCCCATTAGTTGCTTCCTTTTCACCCGGTTGACAGTGGCATATTTGATCTGTCTCTGGATGAGTCACTTCCTGTTATTTTTAACTTCTTTGGCCAAATCGATTTCTCGTTAATGTTCCCTCCCTTCCTAAAACCATCACACTTGAACCTTTCCAATCCTATACCTGTGTTTTAGGGCTAGAAGGGAAACTGAAAGGGCAAAAGTGTGGGAACTTACAGGACAAGCTGCGCGCTGTCATGTCTTTGGCGTGGGACGAGCTCCTGTTCTCGCCACTGTACAAAGTTGCCCAGCACGTCTCCCGCCCCTCCTTCTATGCTGATTTGATTTTGCCGCGTCCAAATCTCCAACCCGACCAACACAATGCGGATGTTCAACATAACGTACATCTGGGAAAAGCAAAGAGGACAGAAGGATGCAGGTCAGACATGACAGCAATTTGTGCAATCTTAAGTATTCGAGTATCACTGGAAGGACAGATCCTGAAGCGGAGAAAAAGAAAAGAGGACAGAAGAATGCCAGTCAGACGTGACAGCAATCTGTGCAATCTTAAGTATTTGAGTATCACTGGAAGGACAGAACCTGAAGCGGAGGCTCCCGTACTTTGGCCATCTGATGAGAAGAGAAGAATCCCTGGAAAAGACCCTGATGTTGGGAAAGGGTGAGGGCAAGAGGAGAAGGGGACGACAGAGGACGAGATGGTTGGACAGTGTCATCAAAGCAACCAACATGAATTTGACCAAACTTCGGAAGGCAGTGGAAGACAGGAGGGCCTGGCGTGCTCTGGTCCATGAGGTCACGAAGAGTCGGACATGACTAAACGACTAAACCACAAAGTATTCGATCCACCCCGACCCACCACCTGGGCCTCCCACTGTGAGATGCATTGAACACTCCCTGCAGGGAAGTCACTTCAGACTGCTTATCCACCTATCCTGGCATTTTCAACTTCAACCTTCTTCCAGATGTCATCTACTACCGATCCCATCATCCCCAGACAGCACCACCACGGGCCTACAAGCTGAAGATAATGTCAGATTTAGTCCAGCACATTTAGTTGGAGAACCATCTCCCACTCAAATAGTCGAATTCCCGAATCTTTCCTAACCTCCATCTTTTTTTTAAATCCCATCACATACACCCTTGTAAACACAGAGTACCGTGGGATCCCCCTGTGCACTGGATCAGCATCCATGGATTCATTTATCTGTTGCTTGAAAATATTAAATTTTTTAAAAAAACAGAAATACATATTTCCAAGGTGTATTTACCAGAAGGAGCCACTAGACGGAGCCAGAGAGAATGCTACATATAGTGTTCACTACTTCTGCATTTCTCGGCATCCATGGGGAGGCCTTGGAACCTATTCCCCATCGATATTGTGGTCCGACTGTACTTTAGAAATCAAAGAAAGCCGAAAACTAAGAAAAAATAATTAATTAACATGAGTGGCTTCCTACTGTTAAAACACCCCCTGTACTCTCTCATGCCATTACTGCAGTTACACAGTACACCCAGCTGTGAATCTGGAACCAGAGGATGGTACCATTTCTGTACATTTCTCTTGTTTTCATCATTTCCCCGTATATTGCAAGCCGGTCACTTACACTGTCCAAGTAGTTGGCTAAGTGCACCATCTCTTCTGTTACAGCTGTTTTATTCTGGCCTAAAACCATGTACTGCAAAAGAAAGAAATTTATGCGTAGAAAGAAAACAGATTTTTTTTCCCAGTTTCTAAAGCAAAACATGAGCACCAGTCTTAGTGTTTGTGGATCTGAAACAGCAACAAAAGAAGAGGCCCTGAACAGGATTTGGAGAGGTATCGCTAGTCTTCAGAACAAAGCCGGGACTGGGACGCTTTCAGTCCATCTTCCAGGTAGATAAAGGAGACTTGCATCTCGAATATTCCCAATGAATAAGCTGTTCAATCTTTGCATAAAGAAAATTTGGTTGGTGAGGGCCCCCTCTGCATAATTTCTCTCTGCTTGCCATGCGATCAAGACTTGGGGGTGTGCTGAGGGTTTGCCAAGAATTCTTCACACCCTCCACACACCGGGAGAAAAATTCCTTCAACACTGAAACGGCCATTTCCACAAATCTCCTGAACCACCCAAAGGTGGCCCATTAGCCATTCTAAAGCTGTTTTCCCTGCCCACCCCTGTATGAAGGCAAAAACTTTTGACCTCCTCATACAGGGCTGCGCCAGAGCCACTAGTACCCAGGAACTAACCAGAACACATCAGATACATGGTGGTATGGCTCCCAAGGTCAATGCTCCATGGGTTTCTGACTATAGGGACAATATCATCTGTCACCCCCCACCAGGCTTCTCTGTTCCCTCTGAGTTGAGCTGGAAGATATGGATTATCCCAGGAATCATGCCTTATTGCCAGTCATCCCCACTGTAACATGAAATATTTGAGGACAGTTTCTCTTGAATAGGCAATTAAGAGCTATCCACTTTGCAAAAGACTAGCTCTTTATTTGTTAAAACCACCCAATCCCACTGCTTGCACTGTGGGGCTCTCCTCATGGGTGTGCATGGCCACGGGGATTACCCTGAGGACGACCGTGGCTGCAAAATTGACCACGACTTAATTGCCCCTTAAAGACAGGAGTGGCTGAACAGCTCCCAAGTAAGTCTGAGAACAATGGCCTAAACGGGGGGGTTCCCAACCTTGGGGTCCCCAGTTATTCTTGGATTAAAACTCCCAGAAGCCTTTATCACCAGCTGTGCTGGCCAGGATTTCTGGGAATTGTAGTCCAAGAACATCTGGGGGGCCCAGGTTGGGAATCACTGACCTAAACTGACAACTGGAGCACACGGTTACCCACAGAAAAAAGAATGGCACAGACAGTTGCATGCATGCCAGAAAGCTAAATCATACCCTTTCTCTGTCCACAACTATGAAAAGCTCCACGTATCTTGTCTGGTGAAGGATGCCTCTCTTTTTCTGCAAGAGAAGAGAAAGTTCACAACAAAATTAATCTTCTGGGTTTCTAAGTTCAAAACGGTGATGTCACCCTACTCCACATTCCTATTGTGCATTCATGCTTCGGAGTTAGTACTGTACACACCCAAGGTGCAGAAAGCCAACACATTCCAAACAAAAGCCAACGTTTCTTTTCTTCTTTGTCGTCTTTCTTCATGTTTGCTGGATTTAAAAAATTGGCCATGATACACGCAACCTGTACCAAACATAACAAGGAATTCAAGGCCCCCGAAAAGAATTCAAAGGATCCAACCGAGTCACATGAAAAATACGTAAATTTTATGCATGTTCTTGATGTCAATTTACAGGCCCATCTTTTCATCTACATGAAAAGTTTCCAGGGCGACGTTAAGAGGTATCCACGTCTAGATAATTTCTGGGATGGGCCATAAATGAAAACATCTCTCCAGGATTGAATCCCAAAGGAGCTGAGTTGGATGGGAGATCTAGGAGTCAAAAGCCAGACCTTTACTACCTGTGTAACTCCCCAAGCCATTTCGATGATCCAATCCAATCTGTTCCCTCACACACAGCAGCAGTAGGCGAGCTTAGGCCCTCCAGATGTTTTAGCCGACAACTCCCAACAGAGTCATCCGTCATGGCCAATGGTAAGAATCCATGGGCTTTGCAGTCCAAAATGAGAGGAAACGGTCCCATACATTCTGCCTTGATTCTTAGCTAGAGTGTCACACCCTACACTCATGCAAGAAATCCAGCAAAACACCAAGGTGCTGATAACCCTTTGGGGGTGGGTGGAATGTGCCTCTTTCTTGGTTGGCCAGTAAAGGTAAAGGTTCCCCTTGACATTCTTCCTCCAGTCATGTCCGACTCTAGGGGGCGGTGCTCATCCCGTTTTCAAGCCGTAGAGCCAGTGCCTGTCCGAAGACAGTTTCCATTGTCACGTGGCCAGCATGACTAGGGAACGCCATGTTACCTTCCCACCAAGGTGGTGCCTATTTATTTACTTGCATTTACATGCTTTCGAACTGCTAGGTTGGCAAGGAGCTGGGACAAAGCGATGGGAGCTCACTCCGTTGCATGGATTCGATCTTACGACTGCTGGTCTTCTGACCCTGCAGCACAGAGGCTTCTGCGGTTTAACCCGCAGTGCCACCCATGTCCCCAACAGGCCCATAATTCCAAAGATACCTCACGTCGCTGTCGGCGAGGCAGCCAAAAACACCCAGGCAGGAAGGAGTCTCTTCAGAGTCAGCAAAGCAACAGGGTTGGCAAAAGAACTGGGAGAAAGTCATGCTCTGACCTTCTACTAAAAAGTCCCCCTCGAAATCACAACCCCCAAACATTCAATCCTGACAGGACTCACTCACTCTCTGCAACTGAGGCATGGCCGGGATGTCCACCCTTCCGCATTTTTGATTCGAGTCAGCAGAAACCCCACAGGCCAGGCGGTGCCTCCTCACGTTCTCCAGTCGGTAGATGAGATGTCTGGAGTCTGACGAATCAAGGGGTTCAATTCCATAGGTGATGTTTTCGATTTGGATTAAACCCCTAATAACGACATCACCTCAGTCAATACTCCTGGGGGCAGGGAGAGGGGGCAAGGGAAGAGCCTACACAGAGCCACGGAAGGCTGGTTTTTAGCAAGAAGGAAGGAGACCAATGCTCTGACTCCAACGGGCTAAAATATTTGAGTAGAACAGTCATTCCTGGACTGTACCACATCAGACTGCAGGGGGGTGTACGTATGCTTATTTTAACACTGTGCTGTGTCAACATAAATGTGCATTTGAGATCTCAGTCTTTCACAACAGACAAGGCTAATCTTAAAAACCTCAAAATCAAAAGTAGTTTTGGTTGCAACTTTAGGTATTTAAGGTTAGCTTTGTTTTAGCCGAGATCTTGCCTTCCTTGTTGAAGATGGCGCAGGACCCTGCCATTGAAAGCTTAGACTTTTTAAATAATAAATATTGACGCAACTGAAAACCCATGAGTTGTTTGCCCATAGATGCCCATGTCCACTCACACACCAACCAAACTTTCCTGGAGGGAAAGGAAATCAGCCTCCCAAGGAGGAAGCTTTCTTCCTAAGTCGCAAATTCTCTGATACGCTCTGCTTAGATTACATATCTTTGCTGTTACATTGAGCCTTAGGGCGGCACTGCAGTTCTAACCATCATAATAACACAGTGGTTCCCAATTGTGGGTAACCTGGCTGTTCTTGGACTGCCTTTCCCAGAAGCTTCTACCACCAGGTGTGCTGGCTGGGGCTTCTGGGAGTGGCAGTCCAAGAACACCTGGGTCACTCAAAGTTGAGAACCACTGCAGTAATGGATCTTATCAGAGAGACCTGGATTCAATCCCACACTGAGCTAGCTAGCTAGCTTCCTACTTTGCTTGCTTTCTTGCTTGCTTGCTTGCTTGCTTCCTAGTTTGCTTGCTTCCTTGCTTGCTTCCTAGCTTGCTTGCTTCCTAGCTTACTTGCTTACTTCCTAGTTTGCTTGCTTCCTAGCTTGCTTGCTTGCTTCCTAGCTTGTTTGCTTGCTAGCTTGCTTCTTTCCTTCCTTCCTTATGATCTTGCTCTACTGAGAAGAACCACACCGACTTACAGCTGGATTGAGAGCATCTTTTCAATGCTGGGCAGTCTTTCCCTGCTTGCATCGGTGGGCTCTGGACCAGGTGGGGAGCCATGAAATTCCCCTCATCTCTGTTCATGAGCCGCCTATGCTTGCTTGTCTAGACGGGCAGAAGATCCATCAGGATCTGCTACCAGATTTCTGAGGTGATCTGCAGCAGGTCATGGGGACTCTCGATTGCTTAAGAATCACACAAGCTGAGAGGATTCCCCTTTGCCCAAAATTATATCAGGGCAATGAAGAAGGCTTGGATCTGGGGAGAGTCTGAAGTGTAAGGAACAGCCATGCTCCATTCAGGTCTAAAACTCAAATACCTCCATTAGTGGCTTCCATATTTGTGTTTTTGGACTACAACCCCCAAAATTGGCTGGTGAATTCTGAGGGTTTTAGTCCCAAAACAGCCTGACGCACAGCTCCGCCTTCCTTCTAAATGTGCCATATCTCTTCTGCACCAAGATTTCAAATCCTGTGCTTCTAAATTAAGAAGAAGAAAAAAAAACCCAACCCACCAAAATCCTACAGATCTGAAGCCTGCCCACCCATGGTGTAGCATTCTAAAGAGCTAAAAAGGAAAGAGAAGAAGTAGAAGGCCTTGTTGCAGACCCATATTGACCCACCCTTTGCATGAAACCCTTCATTTCATTAAAATAAGGCAATGTGTTGTGGATCAAGGACCAACGTTTGGACCACTTTCGGCCCCTCCTCTGGAGAACGTAGGTGGACACCTTGATTACCTGAGTCCAGAACAGGTGCTGACGGCAACGACAGAGTTTAATATTCCTTCCACATACCCCTGATAGTGACAGTGATCCTAAAAGAGGGAGAGAAGAAGGGGAAAGACCCTATGAAAAGTCTACAGTCCACATTTCCGATTAATGCAGGTCACCCTGCTGGTCTTGGCACAGGTCTCCCAAATCCGAACATGAAGGTTCGTGAGCACGGGAAGCCTGCAGCCCAGTCCTGAAACATGTTTATGCAGGATGAGGATCTTCTGGGTTCTGTGAGGATGTGTCCCAAAAAAGGGGACTTGGGACAGCAGACCAAAGGAGTAGGAAGCTGGCCATGCCTTTCCTCAACAGTACAATTCGAGTATTTCATTTAACACTAAAGCAAACGCCTACAAGACTTCCCCACTCGCTCTGCTGGCCAGGATTTCTGACCGTTGTAGTCCAAGAACATCTGGGGGCCCAAGGTTGGGAATCACTGCTTTATAAGATACAGTGGTGCCTCGCTTGGCATTCCGTTGAAATAGCTGTTAAGCGGAATCCTCATCAAGAGAAACGAAAAAATCCCGTTGAAATGTATTGAAACTCGTTAAGTGAGGCACCACTGTACTAACTAGCTCTTTTCTCACTTCCTCTCTTCCCCACACCTGCAGCATCTTTTATCCTCCTTTGCTATTTTTGAAAGCTCTAAATCCGAGGACTTGGAACAAGAACCGAATGCACCGTGCTCGTTGTACAAGCTTTCCCTCTGCACTCCACTGGAGACTGAGAACAAAAACATACCCACCCTTGCGGGTATCGATTAAATATTATGAAACTTCTGGCAACTACCCCTCTGGAAGAAAAGGAGACCTATCAAGACATACACATTCCAGTTTGCAGGCCAGTCTCCATAAAGTCCCACGGGAAGTACCACTGGACTGCCAAATACGTATATTAGTCATTTCCAACTCCTCTAACAGTCTGAAATAATTTTTCTCTAAAATTAGGCAGAAAGAAACAAGGTTTACTTTTCCGTGTGTGTGGTTGCCTGGAGGGGATTTCTACTCACCGCAGGGGAGGGGGTTATTTACAAATGTGCTTAAATACCCTCTCATCACTGTCTCAACAAAACAAAACAAAAAGATCTCAGCATTACTGATTCTGGCTAACCTGGAACCAGATTATTATTTTTCCTTGTAAGAGTTATTACAAGAAGCCTCTTTCTCTCTGGGCAGGCTGCCACATAGCTCTCTTTGAGACTGTTTTCAGAGTTAATTTCCAGTAAAGCAGGCATGCAGAAAAAGCTAGGTTAGGTACAAAGGGGAACAAAGACTTCAAAATCACAGAGCGACGGCATTCCTGCCAGCTCCTGAAATACCATCGCACATGACCAAATCCAGCTTACTATTTTTCTGCCATTTATTAACTTGTGGGATTTTACACTTGCAAGATGGAGGGACAGCAGTTGGCTGAAATAATTTGAAAAGAAGATTACACAAGGGGATGTAAACGCAGGGGCTGATCAGAGCCTATCTGTCAACAAGCGGTTATTTATTTAAAATATTGTTACCCTGCTTTTCTCCTTAAAAAGGACCCCAAAGTGACTTACTTCATCGAAAAGACAATATTTAAAAGCTAAAAACAGTTGACATACACATGTTTTTAAAAATTACACAAATACTGTAAAAGAAGTAAATAAATTAATACTTAAAAAAAAACACATTTAAAAGCAACAAGGCACACAGTCCATTAAAAGGCTATTAACTGGAAGCTTCACACTCAAAGCTGAGCTCAGATAAGTTTTCTGTTTAGATTCCTAGCCCATGCCAGCTGAGGAATTTGATTGCTGGCTGCATGATTCTGGGAGTTATATTGCAAATTTGTGTATCTTTAGAAATAAATAAATTTTTAAAAGCTCTGAATATCTGACAGTCAGATCTCGGACAGACAAAAATAACCAAAAAGAGCCTGTTAAGAAATAAGTTGAGGGAAGCGGAGTGTTCTGTTCTTCACTCTAATAAATGCATTATAGCAGGACAGAGGGGGTGGGAGACTGCCCAGTTTGGTACCCCAGGTACCAAAATGACAATTAAATAAATCTTCTGGGTTTATCTGGAAGAGGAACATGTGGACTTTTCTGCCTTTGAAGCTGAAATAAGATCTTGAGGAGACCAGGCTTTTTAGGGCAAATGGCACCAGGGTGGAGGAGGAAGAAGAAGTGGGTTTTTCAGCTGGGAACCAGTGCAGGACCAACAGGAGCATGTTGACATGGCATTATTTCAAATTCAGGGAAGACGTTCTTCCTTGTCCTCACAAGGCAACCCTCAGCTAGGTTTCTCCTCAGCCCACTTCCATAGCCTGAACTATATGACAACCCAGGAAAAGCTTTGACTCTTAAGAACATAAAAACATAAGAAGAGCCCTGCTGGATCAGGCCGAGGGCCCATTTAGTCCAGGTTCCTGGATCTCACCGTGGCCCCACCAGATGCTTCTTGGGAGCACACGAGAGACCTGTCTCCTGATACCCCGTTACCCCTCCTCTGCATCTGGCATTTGGAGGTCGCTTCCTTTTAAGACTGGAGATTATACATCCCCATCATGGCTTGCAAACTGCGATTCCTCCAGGAATCTGTCCAGTCCGCTTTTAAATGCACCTAGGCCAGATGCCATCACCACATCCTGTGGCAAGGAGTTCCACAGACCAACAACACGCTGGGTCAAGAAATATTTTGTTTTGTATGTTCTCCCTCTCCCAACTGGAGTGGATGTCCCCTGGTTCTGGGTTTGCGTGAGCGGGAAAAGAGCTTCCCTCTATTTTGATTCTTTAGCATTTTTGGACACATACCCCCAAAGGACATCATTCCAGAGAGACACCGAGGCTTCAGTTTTTTCTTTTAATACCTATCAGATTTCTGCCAAAAAAACATCATTCCAGAGAGACACCGAGGCTTCCGTTTTTTTCTTTTAATACCTATCAGATTTCTGAGGAAACAAAAGGTACCTGGAAATTTTTTATATCCACATGAAGCGTTCCGTCTTCGTTGTACGTGTAAACTGTGAAGTCTGTCGGCAGAAGTTGTCTGAAAGGACCAGAAAATGGGGTAAAAGCTTTAGGAGACAGCTTAAAAGCAGGTAAAAATTAGCAGAACCATTACGCAGACGGGGCAGCTGGAGCTTTGACCTCGGGCGCTGAAGTCTAGACAGTGCCAACATTTGCTATTGGTAGAGCACAAACCCAGCGCTGCGCTGTATCCTGCCAGATATGTGAATATACTCAATCTGAGTCCCTGCACAGCCTTCAGCCACACTTCTCTGGGTAGAAAGGAACCAGAGAATAGGCAGGTTTGAGTGCCACAAGGCGCTCAGCCTGAAGCGTTCTTCCATTTTCTCCTCCTTAACCAACAGGCCAGAGAAGGTACCCTGTTTTCTAGTTATGGCTGTGCTCCCACTGGCAATTTAAACCGATTTCTGTGCACACTTTTTTAAAAACCAGATTCAAGTGTTTAAACCAGTGTGATTCAGCAGTGAATGGAAATCCATTTATTTCTACCTATCTAAACGGGTTTTGCCATCGACACTGCTAGTATCGACTCATTTCCACAAAACCACACAGAACTGAATCCATTTTAGAAGCGAAGTATTTTTATGAGAAGCCCCAGATGGCCAGTTGAAAACAACTTGCTTTGCAGCCCGAATAACTCTATTTCACCCTTGCATTGTGTGAGCGACAAAATCTAAATCGGTTTAAATGACACTTAGATTAGATTAGGCATCCTGTCTCAGGAGACGATGGTCACGTGCTCTGTATGGAGGACTTGGAACAGCGTCTAGTGTGGCTGAGAAGGCCAATTCGAGAGTGACCGTCCCTTCCACACTTCAAGGCAGGTTTTATTGCCAGTGTGACCACAGTTGGGCTCTCCAAAATAGATTTGGTTTGAAGAAAAGGAAAGTTTAAAAAGCTGGAAGGGAGAGAATCGCAACTACAGATTGAATGATGCTGAAGCCACTTTCCTTCCTTGCACCCATCCAGCAGCAAATATGGAAAGCTTGGGTTGTCCATACAGAAATAATCATCATCCTCTTGGAACTGCAGAACTAAAATAGGACCCCGTGGATCATCAAGTCCGGCCCGTCTCAGGGAGACCCAGTGGGGGAATCAAACTCCCAACCTCTGGCAGAAATCTAAACCACTGAGCTATCCAGCAATTCATGGTCCTGCAGGAGAAAGAACAGGGTTGGGGGAAGAATGTCTGGAACTGGGAATGAGGGAATCAGAAGGAATATTCATGGTATTCCATCTATACCATACCATATCATATGAATATATGCCATTCATTTCTTGCAATTTATTTTAAAACATAGATGAACAAGAACAAGTCTGAGTCAGCCGCTAACCCTCAAAGAACATTTTTTTCTGGGAAAGTCACATCCTTTGTAGGAGGAAGTGACTGTGTGTTCTCATGATGCCCACATCGAAAATGCTTCGCTGGCGTTTGAGGGGAAAGCACAGAAGCCAGGCAGATGGGCGAAGCCTCACGGTGTTGTTTCCTCAGCTCGGCTTTTTCACACTCAGCAACTTCACAGTTCATTCCCAGAATCAGGGAAGGGGCCAAGGGTGTCAAGTGCAGACATCCCAGAATAACCAAGAGGAAGCCAGCGAGCACAAAGCCCTGAAAAAGGGATCACTTACTTGTTTTTTACTAGATGAAGCGTCCGTTTAGTTCCTTCGATCTTGATGGTATACAATAACTTGTCCTTAAAAACAGAAGAGGTAAAAATCCTTAGCAACGTGTCCCGGAATCATCTACAAACTTGTATGGGCCTGTTCTGCTCCCGATGGTGAAAAATAGTTTCCCTTCGGCATCCTGGCAAATACCAGGGACGGAAAATGCTTCCGGACTACAGTTCCCAGGATTCCACAGCCAGATATGGAATCCCAGGGTCTGCAGTCCAAAAACCCTCAAAATATCTCCCATTCCTACAATTAACGTACAAGTAATCCTAGAGGATTCTCACGTGCATGTTAGGATTTGAACCCTTAATTTTCTAGGCTAAGTGTGTCTCTCCCTAAGGGTAACATCACAGAAATACTGTAGAGCACTCAGGATTTGGTTAGGCAAAGCTCCAGAAATCCTTGCTTGTCTTTGTTGACATTTCTGGTATGTATAGTGGTGCCTCGCATTGCGACGTTAATTTGTTCCGCAAAAATCGCTGTTGAACGAAAACGTCACAATGCGATATTAAAAAGCCCATAGAAACGCATTAAAACCCGATTAATGCGTTCCTACAAAGCGATTTCGTCGGGCGTAAAACATGCCGATCAGCTGTTTTTAAATCGTCGCTTTTGCGATTGCAAAAAGTTCATCACAAAGCGATTTCGTCGTAAAACGGAGCGCTCGCTAAGCGAGGCACCACTGTATCTTGGCTCTCTTGACTGCTGTTATATAGCCTTCTCTCTCTCTTTTTAACATAAACACGTGTTATTTTTATTGCCTTGCAGGATCCTTAGACAGTGTGGAAAGGTGGGCTATCAATATTTAGAAAGACTTGAAGGAACAAAGATATAGGAAATTCTTTGCCTGACATCACGGCCCAATTTTGTCAGTTTCACACAACACGTCTGTTTTGCCTAGTCAAAACAACCTCCCCTCCATCCCTAGGCTTAATTTGTGAGTTTGATTACAAAAGGGCAGCGAAACAGTTAAGGAAAATATAGTTACTAAATATTCATCCCTGGAAAGGAAAAAGGTATAGAAACATAGAATCGTGGCGTTGGAAGAGGCTTATAAGGACATTGGGTCCACCCCTCTCCTGCTTGAGGCAGGAATCTAAATCAAAGCAGATCAGACAAAGAGTTGCCTAACTTTCTCTTGAAATCCTCCAGTGCTGGAGCGCTCACCTTCTCTCCTTCCTGAAGTCACTGGTTCCACTATCATACTGCTCTGATCGTAAGGAAGTTTTTCCTGCTATTCAGCTGAAATCTGGTTTCCTGAAACCTAATCCCATTCTTATGCATCCTGCACGCTGGAGTGACTGAGAACAGATCCTGCCCCTCCTCCATATGACTATCATGAATTTGAAGAGTGCTGTTTATCTCCCCTTGGTCTTCTTTTCTCAAGACTAAACGTGCCCAGCTCTTTCCTCACAGGGCTTGGTTTCCAGCCCCTTGATCATCCTTGTGTCCCTCCTGTGAATTTGCTCCAGTTTATTGGCATCCTTCTTAATGTGAAGTGTCCAGAACTGGACACAATGCTCACGATGACACCTAACCAATGCCAAATAGAGGGGAAATCAGTACTTCACAAGATTTGGAGAATATATTTCTCCTCTTACAGCCTAAAATATCATTGGCCTTTTTCGCAGCTGCATCCCACCGTTGGCTCATATTCAGTTTGTGATCTACAACGTTTACATAAGAAGGTTTACACTGAAAGCAGCCGGGAGCCTCCCAAGCCGCTCTCTCTGCAGATGTTAGGTCCGTCCTCTCTTTGGACTGTCCCGATTTCTTGGTTTACATAACAAGGTTTACACTGAAGGCAGCCGGGAGCCTCCCAGGCCGCTCTCTCTGCATATGTTAGGTCTGTCCTCTCTTTGGACTGTCCCGATTTCTTGACAGCTGTGCCATTCAAGGACAAACGCACCTCCGTTTGTTCTTTCATAGGTTCTCCCAAGGGGCGGGCACAGAAATCAGGAAAGAACACAGCGTGGTCTGAAATACCTGAGACGCTGGGCTGAAAGGCAGCCGTTCACGTCGTTCTCTCGTTATCCTCCTGGGGACACCAATTTCATAGGAAGACAAATCAGATAATGGCTGAAAGCCTAGGAAGAGAAAAAGGAAAGGATCAAAGATGAAAACACAATCAAGCTGATTAGCTCCATGAAAACAGGCGCCTCCTTCACGGCAAATCCAGGCAACAACAACGCTTGTTTATTCTTATGTCTTGGGACTTCTCGGAATGGGCTCGGAAGAATCAGGGGATTGCTAATACTCTCTTGATCTGTGCCAGGATGATTGGCAGAGAGCCATGCAAATTAAACCTGGCACAGAGACATCAGCATTTTCGATGCAGGTAAGGCTGAATTTTAAGAGGTGTGGCTTCGGAACATTTAAAAGGCATGAACTACACCAGACTGTGAGCTGACTGCATTTTTTCCCCCCAGTATACACCTTTTTTTTCTTGTATGCATCAAACTCTAGCATACATGAGACTTGTTTCTGCTATATCTCATGACTCCCCCTCCCTAGTATAAATATAAACTTCTTGTTGGCCAAAGTACTGTACACATGGCTAAGTGATCTGCCACATGATGCAACAAAAATGTTATAAGCAGAAAGGAAGAGTAAAAAGTAGCCAGCAAGGTTTAATTTCTGACAAAACCCTGCCCTGGAAGGAACATAGACATGCTGATTGTCAGAATAATATTCTAACAGAAAGCTAAGCATTGCAAAGGAGGTCCTTTATTTGCCCCAGTGGATGAAAGTATAACCAGAGATGATCTGAGGCTATTCAAAGGCGCAACTAATTTGAAGGTTTATTTAAATCGCAGCAGATAAACAGGGAATAAAATTCATAAGACACAATATTAAAAAGTCAAAGGAAAAAACAATGAATTTCTAACATCACACAATGCAATTATATGATGAAAAGTGCAGAGCAGAACAACCAGTATTAAAGTATTTGATAAAGTTATGATTAGACAAAATTGGCTCTTTATAAAGGACTACGTTTGCCCCATATCTTCCACCAGCTCTCTGGCTGAAGCTCATGATGTTCAACTCTTTTTTGGCCTAAAGACTGAGAAAGAAAGACATACTGCTACCTATTCCAAGGAACACTGATGCCAGAATCAGAACACTGAAATTTGGACAACTCATGTCCATGGAATGCGTAACCTCACCAACTGAGCCCCCAAGCTTACACTTTGGACCAGACCCAGGATTCAAATGGACATGGGATTGATTAGCAAGACTAATACTTGGAAGAGCCAGGCCCCACACTTCCTTGCACCCCTCCTCCACTGCTCCACGAGAAATAACACCCAAACTCCTACCAACATTTACACGTCAGGAGAAAGAGTAATGCAAAGGAAATTAAAGTTAATTATTCATTGCAACCGAAGCCCAAATGGATGCTCAGTGACGTTTTCCGGGACAAAACTGAAGGGTAGAACTGAGGAATGGCTAATGCAGTTTATCCATCTTCTCTTTCCAAACATTGCACAATACGGAGCATTCTGAGAATGGACCAAAATAAGGCTTCCACGTTCCACTCTTACAGCTGGAAGTCCTAGGTTCTCATTTTACTAACATTAAACCTCATGGCGCAGTGGTTAAACTGCAGTACAGCAGCCCAAACTCTGTTCACACGCTAGGGTTCAGTCTCAGCTAGCCAGCTCAAGGTTCACTCAACCTTTTATTCTTCTGAGGTCGGTAAACTGAGTACCCTTGAGGAGAAGCAATGTGAAAACTTAATATTTAAATTTCAAACCACCCAGAGAAGTGCTTTAAGTGCTATGGGGCATTATACTGGATAAGCAACATGCTTTGCTTTCCTCCCCTTTAAACCCCACCATCCCTGTTTCTTTTAGCAACCAGAACTGAAAAATAATACTGAAAACAAGAGAATCTGGCCCATGAAGCTTATCTGAAAACAAAGATGCTGTCTTAGAGGTCAATAAAACTCTTTAAAACAAAAATGATCTAAGGGCAAAGTGACTCTGACCATGTGCAGAGAGCCATTCCTTTGTACAGAGAATATGTACCATGAGGCCATGTGATGTTCACTGGATTCATGACACAATGCAAGTAGACATTGCACGGCTCTTGCTAAATTACGCTTTCGTCAACAAACTCCAGCAGCCCCACTCTGTTCACAGGATGCGCATCCCACAGAACACACATGCTTAGTGCATGTGCTAGCTTCACGCACATGTGTGCTCTGTAACATACAGTGGACCCTCTACTTAAGGAATTAATCCGTATTGGAATGGTGGCTGCAAGTCGAAAAGACCTTCACACACATGTGTGCTCTGTAACATACTGGGCAAATCACACCAAGAGTGAGATTAGATGCCTTCTCCCCTAGATCTGATTTGCAGATTCTGCATTCTCAGTCAATGGTTCCCAGTCTTGTGTCCCCAGATGTTCTTAGACGAAAACTCCCAGAAGCCTTCACCACCAGCTGTGCTGGCCAGGATTTCTGGGAGTTGTAGTCCAAGAACATCTGGGGAGTCTAGGTTGGGAACACACCTCTACATAGTCACCTCCAGTCCTTTGGGCTACAGATCCCACAGTGCTTTACTGTTGGCCAAGATAACTAGGCTTTTCAAGAGTTTAGATGCCTTCTCCCCTAGATCTGATTTGCAGGTTCTGCATTCTCTACACTACAATCAACAGTTCCCAGTCTTGTGTTCCCAGATGTTCTTAGATGAAAACTCCCAGAAGCCTTCACCACCAGCTGTGCTGGCCAGGATTTCTGGGAGTTGTAGTCCAAGAACATCTGGGGATTCTAGGTTGGGAACACACCTCTACATAGTCACCTCCAGTCCTTTGGGCTACAGATCCCACAGTGCTTTACTGTTGGCCAAGATAACTAGGCTTTTCAAGAGTTGAACTCCGAAAGACTTCCAAAATATTCAGAAAAATGGCCTCAACCTACTCTAAGATTTTGTTTCAGTAGTGACCCAAAACACCCTCCTGTAGTTTTTCCATTCGAAAGGAAGACCCTATAGTGTGTGTGGACTCTTGAATCTCAACCGCCTGTCTCTAATGCTGTTCTTCCCAAACACACATTTGTTTGGAAAGGGCATTTCCAAGAATCATTGCACAGTGCTACAAATTTCTCGGAAAAAAAGGGAGGTTAGATCATTCAAAGCACTGCCAAGCAGGAAACAATTCCCTCCTGAGTTATTGAGTGAAGAGCATGTTAGGAGCATGCTGTAAAAATGTTGCTAAATAACAGAGACATTTTTAAGGCTGATCCCCCATGTTCCCCTAAAAGGCTTTTTCTCTTGTGCTACATCCCTCTTTCCCCTTTCAAATCTTTACTCCAGTCCCAAAAGTCTACAGAAACCTGGCTCAGCCCTTCAATATAAATTCTGGGCTAAACCAGAGCCGAATTGATCTCACAGTCCACACGTGGAAAAGTTCAGCCCCACTGACTACAGGCTGTCTTCCTTTCCACAAGCTAATTTTGGCCAGGTTGTTGCTAAAAAAAATCCATCAGAAAAAATCCTTCACCAATCAACTCTAAATCACTCAGAGAGTTCTTTATAAATCCTGATTTACTTCCTTCCTTCCCTTCCTCCATTACAATGGAAACTGTGTGTGTCTGTCTCGTACCATCAAGTCTGAACAGACTTATAGAGATCCTACCAGGGCTTTCAAGGGAAGTGAGATATTTAAGGAATAAATGACTTTCCGTGGCTGAGTGAGGATTTGAATCTAGATCTCGAGAGCCCTAGTCCATCACTCTCTCCACTATACCACACTGGGAATCCTACAATGGAATTTATTTCTGAGTAAACATACAGGGGACAGAATTCTATCCCTTCCATACACCAGCAGGAATCAGGTGCATAAATTGTTCCAAGAAATTGCCTCTAGTTAAGAAGTTGAGGCTTTTAATCCTCAGCTTGTGTCAAGTCACGAGACTGGTTGGTGACCAGGAATGCAAACGCCAGTTTCTTAACTAGTGGCAATTCACTGTAGCAATTTACGCCATCTGACTTGCAATGGCAAACATAAACAATAGGATGCTTGCCCACAAGACCGTACATATTCTTCTTCTTGAATCTGCTCATATACAAACCTTACCTCTTTTCTGAACATCATCACCACCACCACCCCCGGCCATCCTCCTCTTCTCTTTCCATTACCTGCTTTACTGAACATGACACTCTCAGCATCTACGGGCAAGTGTTTCTGAGTTATTCTAGACAGTGCAAAATACACTGGTGGCATTACCAAGAGGTGTGCACATTTGTGCACATTTTTAGACTACAACTCCCAGATGCAGGGGGAATCCTGGGAATCTCAAATCCCACCTTCTTGGGCATTTCACATACCTTGTCGTCCTTTATAAGGGTAGAGAACCTTGCTCTTTTTTTTTTCCTTTGGGGGTTGGGCTGAAACCTGCTTATGCGAAAATAGGAGCACCTCCAGTCTCCCAAAAGTTTGTGGGGGAGGGCAATTTGGGGCTGTAATCGGGGACCGAATTAGGGGGCTTTGTAGGAGGCTAGGGGCTGCTGCAAACAACTGCGGGCCACACTGCCCACCCATCTTACGACAACCCTTTAAAGTAGTCCAATATTATTATCATCCTACCACAAATGGTGCATGGGCCATCCTAAGTCATGATTGAAATGAAACGAGGAGTGAAGCCTTCCAGATTTATAGATCTGGCAATGATGGACTCCTTCTTGAGAATCTTTCCCTCCCACGGGGGCGGGGGGAAGTGGGGGGGATCAAGAGGGCTATACATCTAAATCAAAACATATGGCTTCATGAAAACATTTTGCAATGGACATGTTGGAGACCCTCAGCTTGGACATTTCCCATGAACTTTTGAGGCTTACAAGAGTCCTTTCCTGTTTCTCACACACACAAACACCCCTCCATTCTTAGACACTCCAAGCTACAAGCCAGCCCTGCACAATGGCCCAGTAACTAAAGTGGGTTTATTGTAAAACTCTTTCCAATCTAACCAAATATTTATTCACTATGGATTCAACAACCAGCTACAAAACTCTTCCACCCTGCCAAATTCTGTAATTCCCACACCCTTCCTGATGTTCTCAAATACAGGGAACGATCCAGT